TTTTTTGAAAGAGTGCGAACGATGCCTGCCACAATAATACAACAATAAAATACAATGACCGTCACACATGTGCGACATTGAACTGCATTTCGAACGCGACAAAGCTGAAAACCGATTTCGTAAACGGAGTAGGGCTAAATTATTTATGAGAAAGACACACGCCCGCGCGCACGTTTTTGCCGATCGATATTATTCAGCTCGCATCGCTCGTCATACATCGCATAAATAATTTAAACCTGGACAAATCTCGGTGTCCTCAAACACAAAAATTTGTAAACATTGCTGCTTATGACAGAAAAATTCAAATCATTTGCGTAATTCATATTGTAAATGGAAATGTTTGTGTGTGTAAAAGTTTCCAATTTATCAATCCATAATTGTTTAATGTTTAAATCCATTAATGTATCTTTGCATCTAGATGAAGCACTTTTGTAGATGCCATCAGAGATATATGTAGGTATAATGCACGACTGCCCTGGCGAGAAAAACGTGATACAAAGGCATCAAAATTCTTAGTCTGTTAGACTTTTCCTTTGAGAGGCGGAGTTAATAAGATGATCAAAGCCATAAACTATGTGTCGCGCGCGCTAAACTAATTTAACGCGCGCGCGTGTATGTTTGTACGTGTTGTATATGTGTGTTGAACTACTTAGGACACAGCCAACTGAGACCTTTTAACATCTATGTCTTAAAAGATATGAAAATTAATAAGGAGCTATTTTTGAATTTTGATTTTCATTTATCGGTTTAAGAAGCCCGCACCCTCCGCCAGGCAAGAATGTTTCCACGCAGGTATATATAGAGACACGCGATGTGGATGAGCCGTTTTGTCAGCTGGTCGATATTCGGCCACTGCCGCCGTTTAGAACGCGAACACCACGTTGCCATGCAACGGCTGACTGACTGACTGACTGACTGGCTGGCTGGCTGGCTGGCTGGCTGGTCGTCTGACTGGCCTTGCACGCACCCTCACGCATTACTCACTCTTGCAACCGCCGCGAGAGGAGATCTATACGTGTGACGTCATGCAGAGTGCGTGGCACAGGACGTTTTACGAATTGGGTCAAGAGGGAGAGATTGGTCATTTAACTCGAGCACGCTATACGTGCCCCCCTGTGTGCGTCAAATGTGATTTGTCGGACAAGCCGATTTTTCTCGTCTCAGATGCATCTGAGACAAATTTCCGCGCAATTTCGCAAACTTCCGCAGATATTTCGGAAAATGTAAAGAAGCGGTCGCAATTAATAGTTTGGTGATTTACTGAAAATCACCGATTTTTGACAAATATAACAACATTTTTACGATAATATGCTATATATAGTTTTAATTCGTTTGACAGAGAGAGAGAGAGAGAGAGAGAGAGAGAGAGTACCTGGTTTTTAATTTTAAAATTCAATATGTACAAGCAACTCGAAGAAACTTTTGATTTTAATCAAAATAAATTTCAACTTTTTAATGTTTTATTATGTTTCGTTGTATATATAAATACATGTACCGACGAGTTATTTCGAAAAGAATAAATTCTCTTCATATATCTATCTTATCTAATCCATTTGCCTGCGGCACATCTCTCGCTATTCTTTTCTCTCTCTCTCTCTCTCTCTCTCCCTCTCTTTCCCTCTATCTCTTATGAAATTCAATTTTCGCGAGACAAGTCCCATGTATCTTAAAATGAACAGTGAATAATTTATAAAACAATACGTCTGGCAATTAAAAGTACGCAATTGAATTATGTTACAGAAAATAAATAACGTGCAGCTTCGAATAAATTAAAAAAAAAAAATGAATGAGTCTCTCAGTTTCTCAACGCGTCATTGTTTATTTCTGTTATTTAACTCCATTTAACTCCATTTTATGTAACACAATTTCAATTAATAATACCGAAGAAACATAAATTACTCGTTAATCTACCGACTGCTATCTGCGAAAAATTCACCTCGTTTACCTTGAAGAAATTGAATCGCGTGACTTGTTGAAGCGTGTTATATCGATCAAATGTCTTTGCGATTCACATACCGTCAGTGCATGTTTGCTAGAAATGTAATTAAAGGACGATGAGTAAAATAACCAAATTTTGATCTAAACGACGGAACCTTTTTTTATGCATATTTTCTTACTTCTTATAGTTTTTTATATGCTAAATCATTTGCAAACGTTATTTTCAAACTGATATGATGAGAAAGTGTTGAAAATTACAATCAAAGTACCTACACAAAGCACAACTTCATTGAAATCTAAACAAAAACTCAAGAATGCGTAGCACTTTCTCATCTTCATCTTTTCTTTCTCTTTTATCTCACTTCTCTGTTTAAAGCATCATTCTGACATCACCTAATCTTATATCCAGCTCAATCTAATCTAACATCACCTAATCCGTCCCAACTATTCCGCTATTAGCATGACTCAAAATTAACGGCGTGGACGTGGCGGTTCACGATCAGATCACGTGTGTATGTTTAAAAAACTCGTTATAAATTATTATTCTACAGTTTAATCATTAGCATTATTATCGTCCATCTCTTCAATATTCATTTGAATATTGAAATAATTATCTAAATACCCCGCTGGTTCAGGAATCACTCTACCATATTTCTTATGCTCAGCATCGAGCATAAGAAAAAAAATCATATAATGATAGCAACATGCGAACAATCAACTACTTCCATTTGAAAAAAATATGAAAAATATTTCAGATTTTGTGTGACATTAAGAATCATCTACAATGGGAATAATATGGCGTATAATAAAACGTATGTCATAAGTAATCGTAACCGAATATGAGAAGAATAATCGACTATGACTGGCCAATTTCTTACAGCTTACGACTTACTACATCATATTATTCCCATTGTAGATGGTACTTTAATTCAAGATTAAATAAGAATAGAAGGTGATAGAAAGAGAAAAAGAATATAAAAAAGTGCTATGTACTTTAGAATTTTTTTGTTCAGAGTTTGATGAGATTAAGCTACTTTAAATGATTTTCAACACTTTCCCATCATATCAGTCTGAAAGTAACGTTTGCAAATGATTCGGCACATCAAAAATTGTAAGGTGACACAAAGAGTTCCATCGCTTACAATTAGATCAAAATTTAATTATTTTACCTATAGTCCTTTTTAACGAATTTTTAACAAGATTAAATATATGAAAACAATACATCAATGATCGTAGAAGAGAGTTGAATCGAGCGGTTTCGAATCCGAAGGAGTAAACAGATATGGTCGTGTACGCAAAGCACACTCTGCTGTCTAATGATAATGGATGAACTTTAAAAAAATGTGCAAACAAACTCGGTCAGTTCAGGTTTCCGATCAATTTACATAATACTCCCACACGTAAGTAAACGCCAGGACTGTTTATATAATTCATGATGTCTTTCTTCAAAGGGAAAATATTTTGTAAAACTACATGTAGTGTTTACTATGTGTAATAACGTAATAACAGTGGAAAAATGCAACAATTTGAAATTATTTTGTATATAAGAAACAAGAATATATTCGTGTAACTTTTATATAATATAATTATTATATACAGGGTGTCTCATTTTAATTTCTCCAGGCAAATGTCTCGAAAAATACGCAAGATACGAAAAAATGTTTCAAACAAAAGTAAATGTAGGATGTAAAGGGAGATAAATAATAATAAAATCGATTTTTCAAGGTATCTTGTAAAGTTTAATTTTTCGATAATCAATTTTTCGATACCTTAATATTTAAAAAAGTAGAGTGTATCTCCATATGACACTGAAAAATGGATTTTTTTTGTGAAATTGATTTTAACCTCTAACATCGACGAGATACTGTTGAAGACCGTCAGCCCTGGGCAAATTTTCGTGCCAGCCCGGCGGGCCCGGAGGTAATTGCAGAGTGTCGATGTTATCGACTTTTGACATAAATTTGCGATTTATTTGAATAATACATTATTAAGATCATGATTTTTATTATATAAATGCTTTATAAATAAGTATGAATACTTATAATGCTATAATATCAAATATATTGCCGCAAAATTACATTTTTTTCCAACTGTTTTACCATCTCTCTGGATAATCAAACTCGTGTAACTATAAAAATGCAGTTTTAAATAAATTAAATTAACTATTAGCAAAATATAATACATATAAATTACAATGTATATGTCTAAAAAATATTAATCTATTAATAAATCATAAAATTAATGTTATATTATTGACTAATTACTTAAATTTTAGCAATTACTAAACATGTCACGCTAACTCCCGTAAGAGTGTCGGTCTTTAATAGTATCTCGTCGGTGTATCGCTCTATAAGGCTGCGTTTTGCAAAAACTTCGCCGAGGGAGTCGATTGTGTATCTTGAACAAAGAGATTATACAGGGTGTCCCATAATAACCACACCAGATCTCGTAGAACAGATGAAACTGATCAGAAAAGTCCTGTACCATTTTGCAAAATTCGCAATCGTTAAAGAGATATTAATTCTTGAAGATCGGCGAATAAACGCATATCCGTCCGTCATACCGCTGAATGCAGCCGCGTGGCGAGATACGACTGTTCACTGTCCCACCGCTCGTCAACTACCGGCTAGCAATTACTAAAGTCCTAGATTATCAGAGAAGCGCGACCGGCTTATGGCAGTATCGCAAAAGTACTAGAAAATATTAAAAATGGCGTCGAATACCA